CTTTGTCCTGCGAACTCCTTCATGAAGACCAGACCATCACCAGAACCAGCCTCTTGAGATCACAGCCTAAAATACACAAGGCTCTTAGAGCAGCAGCAACAACAGCAAGATCGTACAGACCTTTCATTCTATTCAGCTTTTCAAACATTCAGTCAAATCATAATGTCCTCCTGAGTCAAAAGTATAAAAAAAATCTCCCCTTCCTATTATATAGCAGAAAATTGGTAACAAAACACAATTTCACCAAGTGCACAAACCTGAAGCTACTTCTAATCAAAATTACAAGATTTACATTAAAGATGTCAAATAATCTTGACATGATTATGTTGGTATATAATTGATTACAGAAGTGTATACTGATTCATTTTCCAACCTCTTCATCCAAATCTTGGTTACCTTAGCAACTCCACGTTATTCAGCAGAATTTAAAAAATATCACAGCTGTGGGACTTCCACTAAAATGAGGTGCTGCATGCAGTAGGTGTATTCTACATCTCACAAAACATTTCTGGCATATAAGACAGAATTTACCCAACTAGCTCTTTGCGCAATTCTGTTTAGTTGTTGTTGTTTATTTATTTATTTATTTATTTTTCCCTTTAAGCAGAGCATATTGTATATGTAGTGGCAGGGGATATCACAGGAGTCAAGAAAAGTGGCAGCATACATCTTGCAGATGCACCTCCATTTCACATTTCTGCAGAATTTCAGGAGAAAGAGACACAGATTAAAGTTACTACTAAACAGTTTTCAGTTCTGGCATATTTTCAACAGTTTTAGGAAAACAGAAGCTCAAATGAGGCTAGTTCAATCTTAGCACTACACAAACTTATCAGGAAGCTATGTGAAGAACAAGAACCGCGTATATAGAGGCCACATAGCACCAGCTGTGGCACTGACAAGGGACAGGAGGCATGTAATTTGGCAGAGATTGTTTGGCAGACAATATTTTTATAAGTGGAATGCAAGAACTAGAGCAATGGTTAGGAAGAGATTAGAAAATCAGTGTTGCAAATCAATTCAATTAAGATACTGAATTTTAAAGAAATATGTTGAGATTCTTATTTTATAACTACCTTCCTATTGAAGACTACCAAAAACTAAGTAATCACTTCATATGGACATTGAAGGATTTTGTTCCCACAGTTGCTGGAAGTATATTTTTAAGCTGCACGCTGAGGAAATGGAGGCTTTTCTTCGCAGACCACAGAGTATGGCCACATCACTCACCACTCCTCCATAAGCATGAGTTACCACTGCAGCCTTCAGTGCTTCACCAGCTACAAAGAGCTCAGGGCACATTCAAGAAGGAACAAATAATACAAGTGGCTGCTTTTCCAACATTAATTGGCTGTTTCTCCAAACATTGGCTGCTTTAATTTTATAAGCATACTCATTAGAGTAAGTGCTAGCCAAAAGAACTTCAGGAATCCTGTTTTACCCAAGTAGGCCGCATGCTTCAGTGGGTTTTGAATTTGATGTCATCACATAGCCATGAATAACAAACTATGAAAAGTACTATAAGAGGAGGGAAAAAACAAGTGTAATGGCAATGTAGCTGGTGACATGGGGAGCATAAAGAGGGCAGCATCTTCAGAACTGGGATGGTGTTTGTTCTTCCTTCCTTTGGAAGCTGTGGTTACAACCATGCCCAGCAGTAAGATGCACCATTTGAGCTGTGGCTGCAGCGGCTGTCACAACCAAATGGAAGAAAGAAACTCCCTAAAAGCCCAAAGCTAGGTGAGAACTGCCAGCAAGCCCTGCTGGAAGTGCACACAGATGTTCTGCTGTGTGTTACCACCTCCTTCCTCTTTCTTAACAGGAGGCTATGCCATACACACTTTTGGCAACAGCATCTCTGTACCTCCAGCCGGATCCCTACCGCCTGTCAAGTAAAACAAGTGCAGCAGCAGCACAGAAACTGAAACCCTGTATACCCTAGTGCTGCTGCTAATGCTTGCTCTTTATTTGGGCACATGTGTGTATAAACATTCTGCAGCTCTGAAAAAATGAAAACTGCTTTGGCTCATTTCAATACTGAGCAAAACACAGGAAAAGCACTAGAATGAATGAGAATAGACTGCTTTTATCTGTCATTTCTCTTGGGTTGTTATGCTTTCTCTGAGTATAATTGCACACCTCTGAATCACATCTTTTTTTTTCCATATCCCCCCACATATTTTGGCATAGATGCTAGCCTGCCACACCTCAATAGGCAATGGATGAATTACTCTGTTGCTCAGCTACAAAGCTTCTTATTTTACAGTTCTTTCTCCAAGCAGTGCTTCTAGGACAAAACAGGCCACAGAAAAGGGAACAATACAAAAAATTATCAGCATAATTACCTTCTTTCTTTCATGCATGCTCCTTTTCCACTTCAACCGGCAATAAAACATATGAAACCTTACCTGCAGGTAATGGCCTCTAGATACACAAGGCAACTATCAGCAAAACAAAAACAAAAACAATAGCTATACGTCTGAACATTAAGTTAGATTTCTTGTCTTGATTCATTCATTCATAGTTGAAAAAAAATAGTTACCAGAAAATATAGAAACTGCATGAATCTAAAAGCTCATCTGAACATGGAGTTGGAACTTTAAATGAGAGAAAAAAAATGCTTCTTTTCCTAACTACTTGTGCCAGTGTAAGAAATTATTTCAATTATCATCTGCCACTGGAGCAGTTTGGGCCATGCTTCTTAATTCACTTTTTCAAAGTGAATTAAAAAAACATGCAACAATTTGCTGCAAAAGGAAACCTGTTATTAGCCTGAAAGTGTCACCTTATAAAACTGTGCCAGCTTAAGCAGCTCAGCATGCAATCATACATCTAATTACACAGATGTAACTTCATGATGCATTGGCAGGACTATGGGTTCTTCCAAATATAGGTGAATCCTAAAATCCAAAAACCTACAGCACAGAGAACGTGAGGCTGTTGGCTTAACTGAGACATGCATAATGTTTTCTTCTAGGGACTGTTTTCAGGAACAAGGGTGAGCAATCTCACTTTGCAAAACAAAGAAGCAAGCTTTGGTTCAGTTATCAGTCTGGTGTGTTTTTCATTATCTTCCTAAGTATCATATTGTACCCACTCATATTGTACCCACTTTGATCCTGATAATAACAGGAGCTGGGACCATGTTCTATGCTAACTGACTGATCAGAAATGCCATTTCATATTGTGTAACTGTGTGCTAAGGAAGAGAGAACTTGCATGGATGCTTTGATTTACTAAAAGCATGAACTCTATACAATACACTCAGAAAAACAAAACAAAACAAAACATTTTTCCTTCTATCTTCTCCTCTTTATAAAGACTTTGCATTACCCCATGGTGCATGCATTTTGGCCTAGTGAGATGCATCTCAGTGCATAATGTCAAGACTCCACGCTGAGCTGTTCTGAAGATGCCTCTGATGTCTGCTCTCTGTATTCTACTGGTATTATTATTTATGTAATAATGCAGTCATGCTAAGGAAGATTTACATGCCAGAGAACCAGTCTTGCAAAGAATCACACAGAGGCAACCTTGATTTCAACAGGGCAATGCAGAGACACACCTAAACCTATACAAATTATAGGACTTAGTAAGCCACCCCTAAATGAGGAATGACAGTGTGGATGGAGCCATACATTACATGGTCAAGAGATGGTTTTATCATTAGCTTTGTTATTATTCCACATTTCCTTTGCTTATTTTGGCCAGGGAATAATCTTCAGAGGAAAAGCTGAAGAGGTGTATAAAGAAATAGCCTGAAGAAAATGTGATGTGTGAGATGTGTATGGTGCATGTGGATACGTGAAGGTATTGTAGTATAGTTTGGAAAGAACAGGAACTTCATCACAACCTACAGCACCTCACAGGGAGCGGAGGGCAGCGCTGAGCTCTGCTGTGTGTGCAAGCGACAGGGCTGAGGGAACGGCATGGAGCTGCGTCAGGGGAGGGCAGCTGGGGGTCAGGGAAAGGGGCTGCACCAGAGGGCGGTGGGCACGGAACGAGATGCACAGGGCGGTGGGCACGGCCCCAGTGCTGGAGTTCAAGGAGTGTTTGGACAGTGCCCTCAGACACAGGGTTTGATTTTGGGTGGTGCTGATTTGGATCCTGTGATCCTTGTGGGTCCATTCCAACTCAGGATATTCTGTAATTCAGACAACGAGCATGGAATAAAAGAACAGAAGTACTGGAGATGAGGACAGAATTTGAGAGCCATCACGTGTGTTAGCCAGGAGGCCAGGCCAGGACAATAATGGATGTGGTCTTGCGAATAAAGATGAATTCGTGAATTTTTGTTGTGAAAATGCACGCCATTGAAGGTGAGAGACAACATATTTGGTTTTAAACCCAATCCCACAAAGACAGCACAAGTTTGGCTTCTTAGTGCCTGTTGATTGAGATGAGCAGAAATAAGACTGGAAATGGGGTCAAAGAAAGTAAAGCTGTTTTCAGCTGCCTGTAAGATGTCTTTCTATGCGCTTAAGCGACTCAGATGGCAATCTGCAGTTAGCTGTCAGAGTGTAATTTTGGTCAGTGCCAAACCAACTGCCAGCTTTTTCTCTGCAGAGTACATCCAAGTTCCTCCGCGTTCTGCTGGTTTGCCACTTTTTAGGAAATGGTGGAGCCGGAGAAGGCGCAAGGGGATTCCATCAAACGCTTGGAGCGCCGCGAGGGCGCAGCGCAGAGCACGGCGTTAACCCTTCCAGCGCCGCCTCGCAACGCGCGCGCACGTGGAGCGCCGCCCGTGACGTCCTAACGTGTCGCGCCCGAGCGCCGCACCTCGGCCAATGGGCGCTGCCGGAGGGCGGGGCGTGGCGCGGGGCGGGCGGCGTTACGTCCGCGCCGCGATGGCTGTAGCGACGGCGGCGGCGGCCGGAGGCGGCGGCGGGAGGCGCCGGCGGCGGCGGAGACGGCAGTAGCGGGGCGGCGGCGGCGGCGGAGGCGGCGGCGGAGGCGGCGGCGGGGCAGGCCGCGGAGGAGGAAGAAGAGGGGCGCGTAAGATGGCGTCGCTGCGGGAGGGGGGCCGCTACGCCGTGTCCTGCGGGAAAGCGGCGGACAACGTCTCGGTACTGCACGTCAAGCTGACCGAGACCGCCGTGCGGGCGCTGGAGAGCTACCAGAGCCGCAAGGTGAGGGCTGCCGGGTCCCAACAGGAGATCGCCCAACAGATCGCCGCGCGGGGCCAACAGGAGCCGCGCGGCGATCTCGCCTCCGCTCGGTTCGCTCCGCCGCTCTCCCCCGCGCCTCCCGCACGCCGTGATTCACGGCGAGCGCTGAGGTGCCGGCTGCTCGCACCGCCCGCCCCGCTGGATGCCCGCGCCGGGCTGCGGCTTCCGACGCTGGGTGGTGGCTGCCGGCAGCGCTGCGGCGTTCGGCTGTTGAAATCGACGTGCGGGGATGAACTCAGAGCGCCTGGAAAGGGCTGCTTTCCCGCAGCCGGTGCGGTGTAGATTAAGGGTGCTTTGATGGGAGCCAGGCTGCAGGCAGTGAGGAGTTCAACTTGGTGCGCAGAATAGTTCGCCGTGCCGTCAGGAATGAGGTCCCCGAGGCTTGTGCACCTGGTGGGAGCCGTGCGTGAGATGCTGTGGTTGGGAGTTAGGCATCTGTGCGTGTGAGGAACTTAGGGCAGGTTGGGTGTGCAGCGGTGGTAGTGAACCTGCGTTCTGTTCTGGAGAACGGTGTAATTCTGGTCTGTGAAACAACTTCAATTAATTACCTGCCTAGGCCTTTTTTTTTTTTTTTTTTTTTTTTTTTTTTTTTTAAGTGGAATCAATTTCCGAGTCAGAAAATGAATGCCTTGTCATCAAGGTGAATGCCTTGTTATCAAGTGAATACAGAACTATGTGTGACAGTGAAGGTCACGAAAATAAATGAAATTCTTTTTCCTATTTCGCTATTTCACCATCTCCATAACTTCACTAAGTGGACCTCTAGCTCATTCTGCAGACCTGCTTTCTCTCAGTTGAACCTGCAGGAGTCAGTGTGTGCCACTGGAACCGTGGCCAGTGACAGTAACGTGGCGAGTGTAAAACTTCAGCCCTTGATACTGCAGTCTCTAGAACTTCTATGCTTAAAAATGGTCATCCTTTAAGGTAATGAACTAAATTGCAATCTTCTCACTTCCACAGTGTCCAAAATCTCCTATGACACTATTCAGGAAGCAGTTCTCAGACTATATTTGAGAGATTCTGAGGGAGCCGTTGTTTTTATGTAAGGAATCTCTGCATCAGGTGAGAGGAATGGGAAAGAGAGAAGACGTTATCAGCTTCTGTTGTATGTATTTTAAATAAATCCACTTGAAAATAGCTGGTTTATGTCCCTGCAGTGCTTAAGGAGGACAGAGCACATGTCCTGCAGCTGGCAGTTCAGTTCTTCTCACCAGCTTTATGCTCTCTTGCATCACACTGACCCATTTCAGTTCTTACTAAAGAAATTATAACGAAGGCTTGCAATCAGCGTTGCTGAAAAAGGGAGGATGTTATTAAGTGAATGCAGGGAAGATGACCTACAGTTTTGCTGTTGCCTTTCTCTGTGCAGAAAGATCTTATCTGTACATCACAAGTAATTCTTCAAGCAGTATGTAGAAGTGCGGAATCGTGATAACCCTCAAATGACCTACTTAGCCATCACTTGTAGAACTTGGGCAGCCTGTAAGCAGGCTCTGTATGCTAGGTTGCTTCACAAATTCAGATTCCAGCACAGTGTGTGAAGTTTGAAGTACTTGTGCTATATTATTACTTTTCTAAAAATTTTCTTAACTTGCTTTATGGTGTCCTCTTAAATCCTTAAATCCAACTTCCCTTCACCTGCAGAAGCACAGAGCTGAAACAGTGCTTTTTGATCTGTGCAGGTTGTTGTAAGGGCAGGTCTCCTGCACGCCTTTGGAGAGGGAGACTGAATCCACATGCTGGAGAATGTTTAGCTTTGTTCTTATAATACTGAGCAGCATGGTTTGCAGTATTTGAGCATCATCTATGGCAGTGTGAACTTAAAGCATCACTACTCATTTGTTAACCAACTTCTGTTCTGCAGGCAGTTTTACTTTGGTACTGGTGGTTGCTGCATATTGCCTTCAGAGCCACAGCCATTTCAAGCAGCTGCTGCCCCAACTGAGCAGTGGGGAATGCAGAGTGCAGTGTGTAATCTCTGAGGATGCACAGGAGCAGTGTAGCACAGCCTTGCATAGTGCATCCCAAAGGGTCATGGCTGTGCTACTAGAAACCTCTGGTGAGCATGAGCACTTGGCTGCACAGAACAGCTCTCATGGCCATGGTGCTTTGCCTCCCTGGCCCTTGTGCTGTCCTTGGAACTGTTCTGAACAACCTTATTTATTTGTCCTTTTTTTTTTTTTTTTTTCTTTTTCTTTTTTTTTTTTTCCTCCTGCTGGAGTAGTTCTGGATGGAAAAACATAAGAGCTTTGAGAGCTGATTTGATAGAAGGACAGATGGCCAGAGTGAGTGCTACAAGTACAGCCTCTGTGTTTTGGAGGCAGCTACCTGATTAGATTAGCTCAAGTTATAGTATGCAGGTGCACCTTCTGTTATAATGAGAACAGGTATAACAGAAACAGTCATATTGCTGTGGAGCTTCTCACTGCTTGGTGACAGTGTATAATTTCACTCTTGCAGGTGGTGGCATGTCCTAATCTTCTGACTGCTTCTGAAGCAGATTAGGGAACGCTGTACTGAGCAGTTTCTGCAGAGTCGTGTGGACAGTTGTGTCTGCAGCTGATAAAACTTATTTTGCAGAGGGAACATCACCTTTACAGTCATGTCCTAGCTGTGCTTCTCCAGATGAAAGCAACTGGATATCTCTGTTTTGTTCTGCATGCTGCTTAAGCAAGTTTTTTTCTTTTTCTTTTTCTTTTTCTTTTTCTTTTTCTTTTTCTTTTTCTTTTTCTTTTTCTTTTTCTTTTTCTTTTTCTTTTTCTTTTTCTTTTTCTTTTTCTTTTTCTTTTTCTTTTTCTTTTTCTTTTTCTTTTTCTTTTTCTTTTTCTTTTTCTTTTTCTTTTTCTTTTTCTTTTTCTTTTTCTTTTTCTTTTTCTTTTTCTTTTTCTTTTTCTTTTTCTTTTTCTTTTTCTTTTTCTTTTTCTTTTTCTTTTTCTTTTTTTCTTTTGCCTCTAAAATCTCAGCTTCTGAAGCCCAAGGATAATTCTGACTTTTACAAATCTGTCTTGCATTTAAGTTTTTATTCATCATTTGGATGTTCCAGCTGCAGCAATTCTGGAGTTAGTAAGCATATGAGATGCATGTTTGTCTGATGTTCCCTCACTCTGAGCAATAGAAGTCACAGAAAGCTGCTGTATTTCATTTGCCAGGGCTGAAATTCCCTGTAGCTCACATGTGCTTTCTGCACATACGGCATCTACGGTTTGGATTTGGGGTTAGGAAATGACTTTCTGTTTGAAAGCTTGAGACGTTCAGAGATCGCCAGTGACGTCCTACTAGAATTGAGAATGCACTTTGTGCTTTAGAAGGGTCAAATCTCTCAGGGTTTTCTTTTTGCTTTCTTATCAGTCAGCTTGAGGGTGGACATAGCATTAGTCTTGTCACAGCTGTAGAGTTCATATGCCATGAGCTGTGCTGGGATTTAGATGCAAATGTGCAAAGTAGGGGGCATGGGACGCTGGAGTACAGCAGTCTGCACTGGTGGGTGGCTGCTTGAGTGAGAGCGTGCAAAAGAGTCCAGTTACTCCAGGGCACTTCCAGACCCTATAGTATTTTCTGGGAATGCCCCATCCACTCTGTTCTGCTCCTGGCAAATAATTATTTTGTACTGGAATGTTTGATACCACTTGCAAAACTGGTACAGATTGCAAGGGAATTCTGTGCAAAAGAAGGGAAGTGCCTGGGTGAGGTCTCTACATTTTTGCCTCTATTGCCCATCTAAACATACTAAGAGTTGATGATGCATTCTGTATTTGTTGTGGTTTGATTTCTTGAAATCTAAGATTTCTTATCTCTTAAGACAGTGCAATTAATAACGCAGAGTTAATTGATTAAAGCTATGCAGTTATTCATTATGAACATATTTGCACCTTCACAACCCCTATTTCTTTAAACCCTATTTTAACCCCTGTTTCTTGTGGCAGCAAGGACTGGGAGATATACCACTCAAAATGTTTTTTCCTTTGTCACAAAGTTACAAGTCTGATTTAGAACAAGTTTATTAGTGGGGAAAAAAAAAAAAACAACCGAATTCCATACAGTTCCTATGAAGTAGATGAGTAGTAGAGAGGCACTGCTTGACAGCTGTGAGTCACGAGCACTGTGATAGTAAGTGCTTGTACCTCCAAGAGAAGGCAACAGGCTCAACGTGATGGAGAGGAAATGGAGATGACTGAGTCTATTTAAGTGGTGCTTATGCCCCTGTTCTTGTTGCAAACTGTTGGATACATGTTGACATGCTGCCTTACTGCCTTGTTGGAGGAATACTGCTGTCTCTCCCTGCGTGTTTCAGCCAGGCCTGCTGCTAAAGAGATCCAGAAGCCCTTCTTGCCATTCTTATCCTTTGCTTGCTCACCTTCCTGCTCGGGTTTCGGGTTGTTGGTATGAGGGCTCGTGTCATCAGAGAGAAACTGATGTAGGGAGAAGGGCGATTGCTATGCTGAGTATGAGTACTACTATGGCCAAACCAGCAAATCCACTCTCAGATGCAAAGAATGGATTATCATTATTATTATTTTTTCCCTTCCAGTGCTATTGCTCCATTATCTTCCCATAGATTTCTTAACTTGTCTAATGCACAGGATGGACCATGCCCTGGATAAATCAGATATCTGGTATGAAGGTGACTAGGATGTGTATCCTGTTTCAGATGTCAGAAGGTTGTGGTTGATGAGACATAGGACTGCAGGAAAAGCTGAGGGCAGTTAAATGCTGTCTTAACAAATGAGATTATTCCCACCCTTGCCATGGAGTTGATCTAAGGCTAGCACCTTATTAACACCCTGTGCAGATAATCGCGTAACTGAGCTGAATATCTGGAGTAAAACAGAGGCAGCTTAAGCTGATTGAAGGTTCATGACACCATTTCATTTCATTGCAGAAAACTACCTATGTAACTTGTGTGGTTGTTTGGTTGTTTGTTTGTTTTTCAGGGTGCCTTGCTTGGGGTTAGTGAGCTGACTGAGGTTAAGGAAGATATCCACAAGTGCTGGGAGGAACTGAATCCTGGGAGTGGGAAGAGAAAGGAGCTAGACCTTCCTCTTTCATGAACAATTAGCTCTGAAGCAATTGATGGCCATGTAGCAAAAGTACAACTTTATTATCCTAGTGGACCTGTTTGCCAGCTTCCCTAAGAGTGATGGTTCCATTTTCTGAGCCACTGTTGCTTTTCCTGCTCTGATGCTGATTTTGCTCAGACACTGGGGGCATCACACCAGGGGTCTGAAGCCAAGATCACCCATTTATTACCTCTGTGCAACTGCAGCTCCTCCTTCTTGCCTTGTCCCAGTACCACTGCTGCTGCCAGTGCAGGCAGCTCTGCTTGCAGCAGGCATTGCAGTATGCACTGACAGTAGGCTCTGCTTAGGTTGATGTGTGCTATGAGCTAGTCTTTCTCCCTGTGAAAGAAGCAGAAGGTATAGGTTCAGTTAAATCAGAACTGGGACTTTTCACGTTTGATGCCCAGGGCTACCAAATGGTGCTTTTTGCATATCTTTGCATATTACTGTTTGTAAAAGGAGAGTAATAAACTCTTATGGCAAATACAAATACCTCTGTATTTATCTTCGTGAAGCGTTCTTATTATGATTATTGGCACAGGACCTCTAGATTTTTCATAGTAAACAAGTCTTTACTGTATATTAGTATGTCATGCCTTAAGTTTTGTCACTGTTGTGGTTTTTCCAGCTTACTGATTACTGTCCAGACGATGTGATGAGGTTGTATATTTTAAAAATAAACAAACAAACAAATAAATAAAAGCCCAGAAGCCAAGTATGTAATTCCCACAAGTTGGGAATTTGCAGTTGCCAAAGATAAAGTTGTTTCTTCATATCTGTGTTAGAATGGCTTTGCCAACTCACAGCACAATTTTCTTAATATATTAAGCATTTGGAGATCAGAGTTAGCTCTCCAAATTTCATTAAAACAAAGACTGGCTGGCTAGCTATGATTTTTAAATGGGTGGAATGTGTATGTAAGGAATAATCCTCAGTGTTGGTGATACAGGTGTCTGTAACAATGTAACTAATTTTATCAGTGCAGATAGTCTTTCTATAGTCCAAACACTTTTTCTTCTTTAATTCCTTAGCATAAGTTGTGCCATGCTGCAAATTAGCAAGTAACTTCCTAGGCTCAGCAGGCAGTTTTCAGCCCTAAGGCAGCAAAGAGAAGCTGCTGAAAGGTTGGGGAAGGGAGGGAGTAATTTCTTAAGTTGACATTGCTGGTAAGCATCAGTATCTTGCAACTGCATCGTGTGCTAGCCGTCTTCTTGGTAGCTCCTAAAATCATTAAAACACATAAAAAATTATTATACATCACAATCTCTAATGTGCTGATGTTAAGGTATCTTCTATTCACTCTGAGCCAGTGTGCCTGGAAAACAGTAGATAATTAACCTTGTATGCAAGGGTGGTGCCTTATAAATATTAGAGCTATTTACCAAGCACCATGTGTACACACAGATCTTGAGTCTTGCAAGCAGACACAGTCCCTGCCCAAAGACAATTAAGCAAAACTAAACCCGGAGCAAACAAGCCAGGTAGCTCTTGAATTTTTTTCACCCAAAATTTAGAGATTTAAGATTTGAATGTAACTGTTCCTCTATATAATTTTCTCTAACCAGTCCTGTATAGGAGAATGTATTCTTTCTTAAATAAAATTTTCAAATGCAAATAAAGGGAAATTGCTTAAGTGAAATGTGCCTGCAGCTGTCTGTAACTTGGTTTTTGGCTGAGTTGGCATTTGATTATTACTACTCTTACTTCAATGAGATGATGTGCGCGTTGCAAGCACTGGCAGTTTCTCCAGGATCTGATTACTGTGGTGGGATGCTAGGCTTGTCCCCAGGCTGCAGAACTCCAAAATCTCCAGAACTGCTGATTTCACAGGAAGGGAACAGGAGAGCTTAGAGGACTGCTTAGCTGAATCTAAGTTGTTGCCATTGGATTGGCACCAAAGGAGGGACTTGAAGACGCAAGTTGGACTTTGTGGTCACTCTTTAGGGTGGAAACAAATTCAGATCTGGATTGCCAAGCATCACTCGGAGGAGCAGTTCCATTTCACATGTTCAGGAGTTGTCTGGAGAAGCTATTGAGATGTCAAAGCTTTAGGTTTTTTCAGGATTGGAAACTCATGCTGAGAAGCTCCAGAAAGACCTCATTGGCCTGGGCTTGTGGAAAAAATAGTAGCATATGATTTTCCCCTAGCATTGATAAGAACAAGTAAACTCCATGAGATAAGAATTGGAATTGACAGTTGCATCTAGTCCTAGAGTTGAGAGTGATACAGTTGTGTTCTGTTGCTACTGTTGCTGTGCAAAGCTCTTGTGTACCCAGGTTTGGAGTCCTCAGTAGGAATTTGATTTGGGAATCTGCGGAAGGATGTATGGAGACAGCTGCCTTCCTTACTCTCAAGTGATTGAGGGGAGGTGTATCACCTCCCAGGAGACCAGAAAAGCTGGGACTTTGTTTTGGGGTGAAATAAGAGGGCACCTGGTGAAACAGATAAGTTAAAGCAGATCTATTCCCCATATAGATGGGTGGATCTGGCTGTCAGAGGAGGCTGGAGGCAGAGAATATCTGTGGTTTCTCAAAAGGATTAGGCAAGTTCACAGACAGTGGATGTATGAACAGATTCAAAAGAGAACTAAAGGGGGCTGTGTCCTCCAACACCAGTAATTGTGAGGAGGTGTTAAGTGAATGGCTCAGGAAAGTGGCAAGGCACCTGTGCTCCCCACAGAGACACTGTGAACTGAAGGGAGTGGGGGCTGGAGCAAGTGATGAGTAGAAAAGCTATTTGTTCTGCTCCTACAACCGTGCCCAGGCCCATTTCAGAGTGAAGGCCTGGCAGCAGTAGCAGGCTGGACTGCAGGGCTTTCTCCTTGCCTGCTCCCTGCCAGGCAGTCTGGCTCTCCAGATAACGTGCCAGGAAGGACATGAGGGCTCACTGATACTCTGCTAAATTTAGATTCCTTGTGTTTTCTTGCACTGAAGTAGGGTGGGCTGCTGTTCAGCCAGCACACTTTGACTGAATCAGAAACTAGCTGATGTCAGGTTCTGTGAGCCTGTGTAAGATGGTGACAGCTGCAGCATTAGCCTGCATGATGGGTGCATTGGGATGTCTGACTCAGCGTGTGGTGGGGTGCTCTCCTAACTCACTTTGTGTGGAACAAAGTTTCCTTCTGGAAAACTGACACCTCAGATACAGGTTAGGATTTATAATTGCGTCAGGCTTCATATGTTTATCAAATTGCATTTTCAAACACTTGTAGGCACTGGATAAGCTGGTAAAAATCCTCTAATAGTTTCAAACTTGGATGGCTTCTGCCACTATCCAGCTTGAAGTTGAAAGTTCTGTGGAGTTTTTTAAGGGCTTTCGTTTGTATTGTATTGTAGGTCTGTGTGAAACTGACCCACAATACAAACTGTATTGTGGGCTGCTGTGAAACTGGAGGTGCAGTGTAAGCCTTCTGTGAAAAATAGGTGCAGCCATTTTTAAAGATGTGAGGTGTAAGTTTGGAGGTTGCCTGCAGGCCTGTTGCCTGACACCTTGCCACTTACCTCTGCTGGCTTTGGCAGCCACAGGCACCCTCATGAGCAGATCTACTTCATCACCAAACCCAAAGTCTGGAGTTTGCTGCTGTATCAGTGCCACGAGTTTTACTTTGAAAACCCAGACAAGTGCAAAGCATAGAGGAGCAAGCTGTGGCTGGAGGCAGCAGTGAGCAGGAATTGCACCTCCCTCACCTTTCCAGTCATTCTATGCTATGTCATCTACAGCTTTGTGCTCCTGAATGGCACCTCAATTTACAGTCTATAAAAACTTGCTTTTCTGGAGTAAAATCTGTATGAATAAGAATTTTATCCTTTGGTACATTTCTCAGTGTAAATGTTGGCAGGAGGCTGACTAACGCTTTATAAAATCCTAGTAAGTTATACCAGTCAGCACAGAGCCCATATGTTATTCTGTTCTGCAGTGTAATTTCAGGGCTCAGTAAAGCTGAGCACAGTATTGCTGCTAAATAGGATATTCTTATCAGTGTGCTCCTGCTGACAGTGGTGTTTCGGTGTTGTGCATTGAGCTATGTCAGGGAGTAGATCTGACCAGAAGCCAGCCTGTGACAAAGAGCAGTTGTTTTCAACTAGCAAGCTTCTTGGTCCCCTGCCCTAAAAACATCTGTAAGTCTTCATGAGCTGTAATATGAGCACAGAATTGGTGCAGCATGCTTCCGTCACTGTGATTCAGGAACAGGCTGCGCTTACTGCTGTGAAATTATAGAGACGAGTTAGAGGTGGCTCTTGTTGTTTCTGGCGCTCTTACATATTTCTCTTAGTAGATTCATTGCTGCAGAAGTGAAGACTGTTTGGGGGAGCCCTATTTTTTTGATGTTTGTTTGGTTACAATGAATCTTTTCATTGGTAGAACTTACTCTAACTGATTAGCTGAACTGCAGAGTAGGAAAGCCAGACACTCAAATGCATGTGAAAATGTTGCCAAGTAGGCTCTTCAGAAAATGAGCACTTTCCAAAACCTTGAGTGGCGGGCCTGTGAAGGCAGTCTGGGAGTGGGAAAAAGCAGGGCTCTTGGGGCTCTTTTCAGTCATATGTAGGGGAGTTCTTCCTTTTAGTGCCAGCAATATCAACCATTAATTTCCTTGCCCATTCTCTCCCTGTAGTGCCTATGTATCCTAATAAAACATCAGGTCTTGAACTCCTCAGCTCTGCATAGGGTACTGCTTGCAGGAGCCCTAGCCTTACTTGCACAGCCACTCTGTATTGTAATATGGCCTCTGGGAAGTAGGCTGGTTGTTGTAAATGAATCTACCACACGTGTTTAATTTGTGTAGCAAAATAACTTTTACCAGTGTATAGAGATTTGCAGTTTTGCTTACATTCTGCTTGTTTTCTTTCTCTTGCAGGATCTTGTTCCTTCTCAACCTTCAATTCAGTTTCAAGGACGCCAAGGGGTAAGTTTTTTGTACTAATGTTACATAGGAAAAGATACCCAGAGATAATGTACAATCTCTTAAAAGAGAGAAGTCATATGGACATTTTCATGATGCATTCAATGCCATGTGTTTCATTATGTATTTATTTAAGAGCATTATATATTTATTCAAAATATGGAGAAGAGCCATGTTTCTGTGTAATTTTTTTCCTGCTTTTATCAACTTCAAGCCTAAATCTGAAAGGAAAAATTATAAATTTGTAAGTTAGCAGCTAAGCAGTGTATGTCTAGGATTGTAAATCTGACTTGAAGTGATTGCTTTTAAGGTGTGGAGCAAAAGTGTAGTTTTGGGGAATAGGCATGTTATTCCTTAGGCCATGGAGACTACTGATGATTTCTGAAGCTTTTTTGAAACTCTAATAAAATGAGATATTTCAAGCCTGTTGATGAAGAATTTAAGGGAAAAAAAGATAGGGAAATGTGGCCTTCTAAAGGAGGAGGCCTCCTGTGGCCTTCTTAAATAATCAACAAGTGCAAACTGGAGAACTGAAGCTGAACATAAAATTAAGTGCAGGTTGTAGTTAGTCTTAGGATTTTAGGTTTAATATTTGAACTTTAAGATGATGTTAGTTTTAATTCAGATCAGTTAGCAGATCCAGTTTTCTATATATGCGTGCAGTGCTTCTGCGGAGAAAGCAAGGAAGAGATGAGAGGATAGATAAAGTCTTAAAGATGGTGAAAGGTAGTATTCTTGTCCAGAGTTTTTGAAATTACAGTCCTGGTCCAGTGGGCTAGACCTGGTGAGCTGAGAATCAGAATCAGTGTCAGGGATGTGGTCCTGCTGAAAAGGTCACCTTTCTTTTGTTTGGCTTACAAAGCCTGCCCAAATTGTCAAATCACAGAATGATTTGGGTTAAATGAGACGTTAAAGTTCATTCAATTCCAACCCTCTGGGCAGGGACACCTTTCACAAGATCAAGTTGCCCAGGACCCCCATCCAACCTGTCCTTGAATTCCTCCAGGGATGGGACATCTACAGCATCTCTATGTTACCCAGTCTAAATCTAACTTCTTTCAGTTTAAAGCCATTATTCTTGTCCTATCACTACACTCCATGGCGAAGAGTTCCTTTACAGCTTTCTTGCAGGTTCCCTTTAGATACCTATTGGAAGGCTGCCTCAAGGTCTCTTCGGTACTTTCACTTCTCCACTTAACAACTTCACTTTGTAGGACAGGTGCTTCAGCCCTGTGTTAATCCCTGTGGCCTTCTCTGGACTCAGTCTGACAGCTCCACATCTTTCTTGTGGTGGGATCCCTAGAGGCAAACTCAGCACTGCAGGCAGAGTCTTGGGAGAGTGGAGTAGAGGTGAACAATCAACTCGCTTTGTTTGGTGTCCATGCTGCTTTTGATGCAGCCCATGATATGATTGCCTTTCGAGGCTGCAAGCACGTTCTGCTGGCTCATGTCAAGCTTTTCATCAGTGAGTGCTTGCAAGCAGGGAGGCAGTCAGGAGAATTGCATCATCATCCCCTTTTGGCAGCATTTTTCCTCTGTTCCTTTGTATGACCATAAAGCCATCCTTCAGAATGCATTTTGTTCTTTTTTACAAAACCTGGAAAAAGTTATGGTTTTGCTTAGTTCAAAATAAGTTATGGGATTATTAATAATTAACCTAAATATTGGCATGAAGGTCTGAAAGTTATATACTGCAAAAGAAAAAAATTACTAGCACACTTGATCTACCTTGTATGCTCTTTCTCTGCAGAAGTTTATGTCCTTATTTATCCCACATTTTCAAGTAGCATTTTATAGGAGCAACATGTGAGATTTCAGTTACTACCAGGCTGGAGGAGGCTTTGTTTCTCATCTCTAAATATCTTTTTTTTTTTTTCATTGTTGTGCATTTGAACCCCTGTAATATCACTGTGTGATGCACAGATGTCCTAACAGCTGTGCTCAAAAATCTACTAGGTCAGTAGATTCCAGAGTGCTGTGGAAGTCCAGGTTGGGACTGAACACAAGAGAGAATGCTGGATTTTCTTGATTATAAAACTCATCAGTGAATCCTGTTCCCATACTCCATGAGGTGGAAATATCTGATAGGGCTTTATTACTTGCTGCAGAAGCAAAAATCTCCTATGGTACTTCTCAAGTCTATCCATAATTAGGTCAGTGCAAACCAAAGAACTTATTCCAGGACATTTCTAGGTCCTAATTGTCTAACACAGGGATAATAGTTTAAGTTCATTAAGGTAGATGATGAGACTCCATTTTCTTTGTATTGCACCACCATGTTTTAGGTGTTTCCAGAACTCTTGGAGTTGCAGGCCAGGCTGCTGGGCTGCCATGAGAGACTTTTCCATCCTGGGGTATATGTTCTTGATGTCTGTGGAACCAGGCAGCTGCATAACTCTAGGATACAATGCTGAATTGCCTTTAAAAGAATCTGGGCTTTTAAGTATTTCAGCTCTAGTTACATGTTCTACTCATCTTCCTCCATGGGTAGGGCTCAAGTGCAGAAATGAAAGTAGTATGCTGACTTGAGTTGGTCTGGTGCCATGTTGGATTAAGATGTTGAGAAGCTGAAGTTTGAGATAAGAGCCTTAGGTTCGAAGAGGCAAAGTAGGAACTTCTGTTTCATGCATATATTCTAAAAAGGACCTAAGTATGGTGCCAGAGTGTCACTATGGATACTTTGCCCAGTAGCCATATAAAGAAATAAAGAAAATAAAGAAAAACTGTCAAGCTTAGCTTTCCATTTGTTTTAGGACAAAGTTACCCTGAGAGCATCTGAAAAGCACTGGATATGTGTTGACAGTCTCAGAAAGCACCATAGAAAAAACAGAGATGCAATAAGATGGTCCACATTCAGAACGATAACAAAACATCTGTGTGTGCTGTGTTATTAGCCTCTAAACATCTTCGGTGTGATGATCACGGAAACAGTACCAGTACAGTTGGTGTCCAGCTAAGAACTCAGTCATTTCTGGCTTGTTAAGTAAGTTATTGTTATAAGTTATTATATAAGTAAGTTGCTTGTTAAGCAAGTATTAAAATGACCACAAATCAGCTCCTAATGGAGAGAACTTTCCACTGGGAACATTGACTTCTAAAATATCTGGACCGTGATGTGGTACCATCTGAAGAAGCTTGAGGGTGATGAGGAAAGACAAGATGTAGGTCATTTAGATCATAGAGATTAGCTTTTAAGAAATACTTTGTAATTAAACATCTTGGCTTATGTGTTCTCAGTCAATGTAGGAGCTGTGTTGCTCTAGATACAATAACTCTGAGGAATTACAGTGTTGCCAATGACTTTTCACTGTAATGCAGAGTGGGGATGAGTTTTAACAAACAGCTACAAGTAAAACAAGCTGCTGCTGTTAATCCAGTATACAGTCCACATTAGCATTGAGTTCGAAATAGGCATGTTTTCCTTGTGTGGTTTCACTTTTGTGTTTTTTTTCTTTCTTTGCCATCTCTTGTATTGCACTCGCTCCTCTTAGATAGAGATGTAATCTGTGGCAACTGCAACTTATCCAAAGCTGACAGCTTGCCTAGTTTCTTGCTATGTCTAGTCTATGTGCCTTCAGCATGACTGGGCTTCAACTCTTACCTGCAGAGGGGTTGGCACAGTGGTGCTTTTCTTCCTCTCAGCTTACAAAACAGGTCATCTGATTTGGGAAAATGAGTAGTATGTAGTATGTAGTATGATCTAGCAGTTGATCTAGCTTATAAGTAGACCAACTACTAATAACTAGAATAAATGCTTCATCTGCCTTGCAGAGTGAAATAATTTCTTTAGAAATACTCTGTCCTATAACAATTCAAATGACTTTTGAGAAATTATGACTTCCTTGCCTAAAAATATCTAATTATGTTTATTAATATGTCTATTTCTAGACTTAAGGATTTCATTTTTCTTTTGTCAAATGCTTTGTTATTTTATGTTCATTACTGCCACTCAGATGGTTTCCAAATGACTTAAGGGAAATATCCTTGCTCTGATATCAATTAAATCAAAACACCTACTTCTACATAAATGCTGAAGTGCTATTCAGCATTCTCGTCATAGTAATTCAAAATCAACATTATTGATCTTAGGGACATGATCTCTGGGGACTTGGTTCATGGATGGAGGAGTGCTGGCTTTGCTGAACACCAGTAATGCACCCAAGGGTGGGTTTGGCTCTCCTGGGGAGGATAGAAACCACTTCTGTAAATTTACCAAGTGGTATCAGTTTTGGTTCAATTATCTATTACAATTTAAAATGAATCTTTTTTACTCTTTGTGTGTTGCAGGAATTATGGTTTATTCTTCGGCATAAAAATATTTTTCTAAAAGCAATATGAAATGCCCACTGTCTTACATGTTTTTGCAATGCGTTGTGTCAGCTTGGTGGTATTCTTTCTTGTTCATTTTTGCTGTAACATAACCTCTGGCACTAGTCTGGGGATAGTAGTTACCTGCCATGGTCTCTGTCCCTACGCAAATCTCTGGTCCTTCCTTGACAGTAATTACTTCTTGTGCAAATCCTGTTATCTCCCTCCATGCTGCTTGTCCACCTTGCCTGGACCAAGAAAACCCAAAACATTGCATTAGGAAGTACTTGTTACTGTGCTTCCCTGCAGAACTGGCTCCTCTTGTGCTGCTAGCCAGGAACGTTATCACTCTGGCAACAAATGTACAGCTGTCAGAGTGGAGGAAGGGCTCTACTGCATCCTTGCCAACAGTACAGAAGGACAGGAGAGCTTAAGTGTGCCATTTCATTGTTGCAGCACTGTGGCCCATGTGTGGCTCCACATGTTGGAAAGGCTGTTTGCAGACCTCATTTGAGGAGAGTTGTTCAGCAGCAGATGGGTATCACGCTCTGGTTTGGTGGCACTGAAAGGAGCACCATCCCTAGTGCCAAGGCCTGGAAAGATGAACTGATGATCCATAAAGGCAAACTTGAGGGAGCAAAGACTAGATTTTTAGAGGAAAAGCCAAAGCTTTGGGAAGGAAGCAGGGAGGGGGT